GGGTCTGTCGTTCCGTTGCGATCAATGACTCAATCTCACTGCAGGGCGGGGGTCTCGTGCTGTCGTTCCCCACCCAGTCAAAGCCTCCGCCGGCGAAGGAGTCGGTTGAACTGCTCACAGGGGTCATAGGCATGAGCCCTTTGATCTCCCAGACCGCGCCTGTCTCTAGGCTGCTGCGCAAGGCTGGCGCAGCAATGGCATTACTCACGCCGTGGCTCCCTTTCCCGGCGGAGGTTCCTCCCGAGGTGAGCCGCACTTTTTTCTGCCGCTGAAACACAGCCCGTGTCATGTTGTGTAATGAGGCTGTCGCTCGTGCGTCATTGAGTAGGCTGTCTGGTGACGTGCGACAGCGCTACACGGAGGATTGAGTTCGATACGGATAGTATCAACGGTCGTACCTTGACAGCAGACGAAATGTCGATAGGCACTTTCGCTCGGTGTGCGCGCAGCGGTGGTCATCACGAGGTTCAGCTGAGAGAGGACTCTACTCTGAGGCGCCGACGAGGAAACATAGTACTACCTTGCCGACTGCCTCTATCCCAGTACTGTGGGGAGGTGGGTGCTCGTGCGGCGAGTCGTGCCGCTCGAGCCGACTCCGATTCCCATGTCTGCACCAAGTCTGCACTTCGCAAGGACGCCCATTGATATTTTGGTTTGCTGGAATGCCAGATATACATAGTGTGGATACACACTTGCGCGCAACAAACATATTTGCAACGTGTCGTGTTTGCCTTTCCAGCCCGATACCAGTACTTAGAGCACGCCGGGCGCAATATCACGTTGGCCATGTACTGGGTCTCTTCTGCCGATCGTCTGCGCCACACTTGGACAGTTCTGTTCGCTACGGAATATGGATGCTCACGGGTTGGACAGGATCTATCCCACGACCCTGCTGTTTGCAACGCGATCGACCCAGACCCCCTCATCAAGAAGCACGGTACATTTAGGGGCCTCGCCGACATGCTAAGCATGGTCAGTTCGTACATGATGGAATTGGCGTTAGCAATCCTGACCTTTAGATTTAGGGCGAGCACCTCCTGTACGATACGTACAAGAACTGGCCAAAGAAGTTGCCGGTACGCCCATCAGTAAATGAACGCACGATCAGTAATTATATACGACGCACAGGTTCTCTTGTTACATGGCACTCAAGACAAGGTAGATTGCTCGATTTCCGCGACCCGTGTCGGCTGCTGACCGCTCTCCGCCAGGTTACGTCACACAAAGCGTCTGAGGAACTGTATGGCAAGCTCGATGCGGAAGACAAGAAGCTGTCGTTATACGAGGTGCGTCTCTTCTCCCGTCGTTGGGCTGAATCGATGTGTCGGACGGGGCTTTGCTTCCACAACATGGATGCGCCAGCCAACTGTGCAGTTGCCAGGTGCACAGCGCTTCGAAGATGGACGTCCCCTTATATAGGGCCTCTCTACGATATGGCCGTTTCCCGGGGCCGAGAGTGGCGGTATGCCTTGATGAGGCAGCCGTGATCCAAGCTCACCTTGAGTAATATGTTGCGATTGCCCTTGGCCTCGGCGGTGAGGTGTTTGGGCAGACATTCCACGATGCGGAGTCTGCGCATAGAAGCCTTCCCTCCTCCGGTCATGAAGTACGGGACCGTTGGCTGGGTCTTGGTACATTGACGTCCATGTGCCACTCCTGCATCTTGAAGTGACTCATTCATTATAAGCACGAAATACTGACGCACTGCGTTACCAGGACGCGTACCACGAGTTAACGAACGAGCCCGACGGCGTCAAGGAGAGGTTCTGGGACGAATGCATTGCGTGGATCCATGCTCATGTCCTAGAGGCGCACGCCGAGACGGCAAGATTGTAGTGACTGCACACTGCTCTTGGATCAGCCTCTGAAGCACCTATTAATTGCGATTAAACGGTCGATCCGAGCTGTTAAGCCAGTCTTGTGCGTTTTGGCTATTCGAGTGGTGACACGTACTTCCGAGGGGCCGTGCGTGCCCGTGTGCTTCATCTAAGGTACGGCAGCAGTAAAAACATGGAAGATCAGGACGCTGTTGCTCCCTAAGGTATCGCTGGGTCGAGCTGTCTTGTAGTTGCATGCTGGTGAGCAGTAAGTATGACTGTGATGACAGTTGGTTAGGTACTTACTGGGCCAGTCACGAATCATCGGTTTGTTGACGGTTCCTGCTTGGGTTCCTGCGATCAGTTGCGACGACTGACATGCTTGATCATAGACCTCCGGAAGATCCCCATTACCGGGGAGACTGGGTTTTGTCTAAGACAGAAAGAGGTCTGCCAATTAGTGCGTCGACATTGCTGTCCACTGTGATGCGTCCAGCGGTATTGGAAGGTTTTTGATTCTTGATATGTAGCACGCCCAAAACACGCCAATATTTCGTGATCGACAGCGAGTGCGAGATCAATCGCAAGATGTCTCCGTGTGCCAATGTAAGTCCGATTTTCCGGATGCGAGGCTCAGTTCCGTCTGTTGATGACTGCTACGGCTTTCGTTTGCCAGGGATTCGGAGACATACCTGGGTCCCATGTGATACATTGATACCCCACCGGATCGCCTGCAGAAGGGCGCGACTCCCTACGGCCCATACCAGCGCTTAGTCACTCGGAATCGAGCAACATCCTCACACGGACGGTCGCACTTCGCCTTGGGACTTCACTCTATCCGGTTTGCGTCAGAACAGCATCTCAAGTATCATGACATTGGGAGGCTTACGCTGTGTATCGCCCAGCGACGCCGCCATGAGCAGTGGGTCCTCTCCTGACCCCACAGTCCGGCCCGGGTTATATACCCAGGAGCTCCGAGGGTGATCTACTCAGAGTACCAAGCACTACTGGTGAAGAATGGCGTCTAACAGTTCTACGCTGTATACCGAAGCCTGGCTACCAGGCCCCCGAGGACATCAATTTTACACCCGCACATATGCCGCGACGGGTGTGGCTCGCGCGGCGGTCATATTCGTCCATGGCTTCCTGGACCACGTCGGACGACACGAGCATGCCCACCGCTACGCACAAACGAAGGGCATCACCATCTTCACCTTTGACCAGCGCGGGTTCGGGCGCACAGCACTTGACGTGGAGCACAGGAGCAAGGATGCTGCTTACGGCAAGGAGACGTTTGGCGACCAGATGCGTGACATCGAGTTCTGGGTCCAGCACGTCAAGAAGGAGCACCCGGACCTGCCGCTATTTCTCACAGGGTACTCCATGGTAAGCAGGTCCCACTTCGAGTCACGAAGCGAGCACTCACAATCCGCAGGGCGGTGGGCTCGTGCTCTCATTCCCTACTCAGGCGAGGCCCCCACCATCCGAGGAGTCGGCCGGCTTGCTCGCAGGAGTCATAGCATAAGCCCGCTCATCCTGCCACCATCGCCTGCCCCCAAGCTCCTGCGTAAGATTGGCGCAGCACTCGCCGCAATTGTTCCTTGGCTTCCATTCCCGGTGGATATCCCTCTAGAGGTGTGTATCTAACCGCGACGTGAATGAATGCTGGCGCTCACAAACATGACAGCATCTGTCCCATGACCCCGCTGTCTACAACCCAAGCGAAGTGGATAATTTCTGGAGAAGTCACGGCACGGCCAGAGGCGTCGTCGACATGCTGAACATGGTCAGTTCCTTTCAGAGCTCCGAGTCAGCCACACGAACCTGATCGTCCGCCGCAGGGCGAGCGCCTCCTGTACGACTCCTACAAGAACTGGCCACAGAAGCTGCCTGTGAGTCCGTGACGATCAAGATACCGAGGCTGCACTGACCATCGTACGATGCGTAGGTCCTCATCTTCCACGGCACACAAGACAAGGTGCGTCCGCCGACGAGTGCTTGATTTGCGCGACTCGCGGCCGGTGGTTGGGCGCTGATCATTCCGCCGGACCTCCAGGTTACGTCGCACAAAGCGTCCGAGGAGCTGTATGGCAAACTTGATGCAGAAGACAAGAAGCTGTCCCTGTACGAGGTAAGTCTTTGTTGGTTCCGCTCGGATATCTGCGTTCAGCCGTTTCGATTGGCCTTCGCTCCCGTGACGCGGTCGCGCTAGTCCTCTATGAAGCTGCTGGCGGACTGTTCCCTTATCGGGGGATGTTAAGTTGGAATCATCGTCTGCTCGACCAGGACAGTTAGTAGAGGGTCCGTTGCCTTTGAGGCCTTCTCGTCCCAGCGTTCGTGACCACGAACGCTCTACAATCGCGTCGGCGGTATCGAACGGATGTCAACGGCATCTGTCGTTGCGCGGCACTGGTATCTAGCGAAGTCCGATCTTCGCTGGATGCTGAGGATCGCCTGAGCCAGACAGTGCTGAACGTGCATACTAGATGAGACAGTGGGTGATGTTCGCTATTGCGCCGTTTACTGTCGCGTCTGTGACGATCAAGCCCGTCCTGTGGCCGTGTTCTCTGGGCGGGGTTTAGCCTCCGAGTCCTTTTTGAGGACAATGTCTGGACATCAGCTGGGGCTACAATAACTTGGAATGGCGGCGGGCCTTTGTCAGGCAGCCGCGATCTGCCAGTTCGCCGCTCGTCGAACAACTTGAGTGTGCCGTGCCGCCCTTAACCTCGGCGGCGAGGTCTTTGGGCGGACGTTTCACGAGACAGGGTCTGTGCAGAAGCCTTCTCTGCGCCGGCTCCGAAAATTAAGTACGCGGCCGTTGGCTGGGTCTCGAGGATATAAACGCGAATGCGCGGGCGGGTGACGGGCGATCTGAAATTGGTTCATTTGTGGACGAAAAACTGACGCCTATGTCGTAGGACGGATACCACGAGCTCTCGAACGAGCCTGACGGCGTGAAGGAGAGGTTTTGGGACGAGTGTATCGCGTGGATTCACGGACACGTCCAGTAGCCTGGAGGCTTGAGCGCTAGTGATAGAAGTACATTTTGGGCGTAGTACGATTGCGTACCTTTTATGGAAGGTTCCTTGGTGCGAATCTGTTGCGATAGGAAGGAAGAAGAGATGAGCCGCGTTTCAGGCGATGGACGGAAATGGGGGGTGGTCCGTGCGCTGATAGCCGAGGGTGGGAGCGTGAGGTGGCGGGGCAGTCGAGCGTCGGCCGGTCGCCCATCTTGTTCGTCTCTTCTTCGATTCTCGTTTTCGCTGTCGCCCTGCCCGTTGTCCCTCGTCTTCGTTTTCGTGGCTTGGGCAGCGTGAATTCAAGAGCTTTCATTTAAATAATCCTATATATCGCCCCCACCCGCGCCGCGCTCCTTTCTGTGCGTGTCCTTTTTCTGAACCCACCCTCTCCATCCACGCTCCTTTGCCAGAGTCACCCCCCACACATTCTCTAACCTGCTCTCCTTTTCGTCCGTTGTAACCCTCCTCTCCACCCTCGCTTCACTCCTCTGCCTCTCCCGACGCCGCCATGGATGATTCGCAGACAGCCTTCATTGCGCAATACCCCGGTTACAATTTCGATCTCGATATGATGAAGGTGAGCATCCGTGTTCGTTTTCCGGACATCTCGTGCAGGTTGTGGGCTGTTTTCTGGACATTTATCGACAAGAGAGAGGGGGCTAGAGTCAATGGTTGGGTTGTGTGCAGGTTGGGCGCGGTATCGGTGGGTGCAGACAGCCGGGTGGCTTCTACACAGCACAGACGCACACTCCGAGTGGTCCCCTTCTGTTCACGAGCACCACCAACTTGCTCTGGCCGCAGTGCCACAATTTACATCCATCTGCCGCCCTGACTTTCACCTATCGCAAAACCTATGAGGATCGCCCAGATACCAGTATGGCCACTTGACGACGGGTGATTTTTCTCGTGTCGCCTTGGATCCCGGACGCCTCTGTCGGGTCATGATTTGTGGAGCGGCTGCCGTCAAGCACCGCTTAGCCAAGAGTAGCAGGTCCCCTGCACCGATTCTCTGGCGCCGAGCTGATACACTCGTATTGTGGTGATGGTGTTTGCATCGGCGAGACGTGCATCAGCAATGACACTCTATTGCACTGCCCAGTCACAAACCTTCGGTGCGGGTTGGGGTGACAGGTCCTGATGGACGTTCGTTGCCGGCTCGGAGAAGCACCGTCTGACCAGCGCAGAAGAACGTCCTTAGCGCCGTTTCATGAGTTACTTTTGTCTCGAACGGCGCTCCTGCAAGTGACCGCTCTGCGTTTCTCGTGTCTGTATCCCCCACCTCCTGGACATATGATCTGATTTGCTCTCTCATTACAGAGATCCATGGACGCTGTAGGTGGTCCCGACGCTAAAAAAGCCCGCTGGTCGCCGACCTCGTTCGGTTCGAACGGTACTAACGGTCTCTCTGGTAACCGCGACGCTTTTGCAAATTATGGCTATGGCCCGAACGCGAACATGCAGTCCGGCTACAACGGTTCGCCCACGAACGGCTTCAATGGCAACGCGCTGTACTCGACGCCGCAGCTGAGCATCAACACGAACACGTCCCCGAACGGCATGCCGTCGCAGATGAGCCCGAACACCGCTGGCCCGTACACGCCTTCCCAGCAACAGCCGTCGGCGAATGGCCAGAACAGCCCGTACCCTGGTTTCGGCGGGTACAATATGCTCGGGATGGGCTTGCCGATGAACATGTTGAACGGCTTTCAGTACGGTAACCCCATGGCCAACTTCGCACAGGTGCGTACTTTCGGCTGGGCGTCGTCCCCGTCTGAGTGATGCTCCAGAACCTAAATCAGCAGCGGCTTCCTCAGCTGCAGATTCCTGGTACACCGACTGCGGGCCCGTACTCCCCTGCAGCCATTAGCGCGGCACTCTCCGCGCAGAACAATGCGACGGGCCGCACGGTGTACGTCGGAAACCTGCCTGCGACAGCGTCCGTCGACGAGCTACTCAACCTGGTCCACTTTGGGCCGCTCGAGTCGATCCGCGTGCTGCCCGAGAAGTCTTGCGTGTTCCTGTCTTTCCTCGACGGCGCAACGGCAGCGGCGTTCCACGCGGACGCGCTGATCAAGAAGCTGGCGCTCCACGGTCAGGAGCTCAAGATCGGCTGGGGTAAGCCGTCTGCGGTGCCCAGCCAGGTCGCGCTTGCCATCCAGCAGAGCAATGCGAGCAGGAATGTCTACCTTGGAGGGTTGGACGAGAACATGACGGAGGAGCAATTGAGGGACGACTTGAGCCGCTTTGGTTTAATCGACCAGGTGAAGATCGTGAGGGACAAGAATATTGGGTTTGTTCACTTTTTGAGCATTGCTGTTGCGACTAAGGCAAGTCACGATGATCGATTGGCGTTGCATGGTACTTATCATCTTTGTGCTTTAGGTCGTGAACACGCTGCCGACAGAGCCGGCGTGGGCTGGCAAACGAGTCAACTACGGCAAGGACCGCTGCGCCTACATCCCCAAGTCGCAGCAAGCCGCAGCGCAGGCCGCGCAGGCTGCTGCTGCTCAGTCGCTCGTGGCGCAGTCCGCCGCCGCGTCGCTCTCGCCCCTGCAGACGAATGGCCCGAGCTTCGCGTCGCCGTTGACGCCGTACATGCCTTTCTCGCCGGATGGTCTCGGCGGACTTGCCTCCCCGCAGGCCCTGAACCGTACAGTCTACTTGGGAAACATTCACCCCGAGACGACCACGGAGGACCTGTGCAACGCCATTCGAGGTGGTGTCTTGCAGAGCATTAGGTACATGCAGGATAAGCATATCGCTGTCAGTGTTGATCTTTCTCCGTGATGTTTGATATGCTGATGACTGTTTCGGCATGGCAGTTCGTGACATTCATCGACCCTGCTGCGTCCCTTACCTTTTTCCAAGTCGCGTCTTACCAAGGTCTGACGTTGAACAACCGCCGCTTGAAGATCGGCTGGGGCAAGAACTCGGGGCCTCTGCCTCCTGCTCTCGCCCTTGCTGTGCACGGCGGTGCCACTCGCAACGTCTACGTTGGTAACATCGAAGACTTCGACTCCTTCAATGACGAGAAGCTGAAGAGGGACTTCGGCGAGTACGGTGACATCGAACTCGTGAACTTCCTTAAGGAGAAGTAAGTCATGACACGTTTCGTCCTGGAATATGTCTGATCATCATGGCAGGAACTGCGCGTTCGTGAACTTCACTAACATCTCTAACGCCATCAAGGCCATCGATGGTGTGAAGAACAAGCCGGACTATGCCAACCTCCGCATCGCCCACGGCAAGGATCGCTGCGCTAACCCGCCCCGGTCTGGTCCTCAGGGCGGTGGTGCCCGGCGGTCTGCCAGTGGCCATAATGGTCCTGCTTCCGCGGGTCCTGTTAGCGCCATCGAGCCGCCCGCCGAGGGTATGGATGCCGTTTTCCTTGCCCAGGATCTCAAGGAGGAACCGGCCGACATTGTTGTCACGCCGATTGACGCTCCGCAGGGCGTCCCGGTCGCCGCGAACTAGCCTCTGTACACCCATCCGCGCATGCTCCCTGTCAGCAGCGTTGTTTGTCTTTGCTCTCTGGATACCCGTGTTTCCCTCGACTTCCTGTGAAATAACGATCGCTGTCCCTGTATGCACACCTGCTCTCTCCTTTCATTAATCGGATCAAGGCCTGCGCAATGTCCCTCAAAATCATTCTCAAATAGTGGATGGAGTACGGTTGGTTTCGGATCCGCACACCGAGGTGGTTGGCCGTCACTGTCGTGCGTTCGTTCACGCCCGAGTTCGGCTGGGCGGGGTGTCGCCGACTTGTCATGGTTGGGTGCGCCAACATACTACCTGTACATTCGCGGACCTTGGGCTATTGGTTGTTCCTTCTTTATCCACTTGATCTTCGTCCCACTATTTGCTTCCTTTCGCCCGGAAATGGTACCCTATGCTGATCTTTCCCTTTTCTGCGTTCGCCGACGAGCTTTGTTTTGGCTTGCTGCGACCGTTGGAGTTGAATGATCCCCCGCTTGCACTCGATACCGGTACGATAGTCGACTGACGTAAAGATGGTTAATACTCCCTGTATCTCTCAGACTCAATCTCAATCTGCAACGGGGCTCTCCCCATTGTTTTCTCTCTCTCTCACCTTGATTCTGGCGTGGAATCGCCTTCGACGTGATCCGTTCATTTGTTCAAGAACACGACTGTCAGCTAATACTTACAGTGAAAGCGTAGCGAAGTTACGCCGACGCGAACATATGCACGTCGATCGCGGTAGCGTCATTCTGTCAATTGCGGTTGTCCAAATTACACTGTGTATGGTACGTCTGTCCCAACACTGCGTGTCTTCGCAATGGACGCTAATGTAAGTTCATAGAACATGGGATCCCCGGTGACTGCAGTTCTTTGAATGCCTCCCTTCTCGGCGCTCGCACGCGAGAACGGAGCTCACAGCTCATGCTGTAGGTGTATGGCGAGCGCCTAGGAACTGACACATGCGGTTCCTTTGGCACAGTGTCATCAGGGCCGCGCAACGCGGTGTGCATTGAGGTTGACATGTCTTCCGGTCCGTGTGTATTTCAGGATATCACCTGGGAACATCATGATATCCGACAGTGAGGTATAAAAGAGTGGGCATCTCCATACCAATTACCTCGCGTACTCAGCCAACTGAAGAGCGATGCAGTGGATGTACCTCCTCGCGGCTGCTGGACTGGTGGCCGTCGGTCCCATTGGTGCCTCTGGTGCCAACGGATACTATCAGGAGCCTTCTGCCAGCGCGTCCTTCACGCAATACTCTGGCTGCGGCTCCCCTGGTATGTAGAATGCCTTATCTTCATGTACAACGAGACTCAACGAGACTCGTGCCCTAGCGTGCGGCATACCAGCGACCGGATACACCGCCGCGATGAACCAGCTGTCCTTCGGCTCCGCGCCTGGATCAGGCCCTGGCGACGCCTGCGGACGTTGCTTTCAGCTCACGGGCAGCGCAGATCCATACAGCCCGGATTACTCTGGGCCGTGAGTGTTGATTGGCTAGGGTACCGGCTTTCGCAGTGCTCAGACTCGCCCGCAGATTCAATTCCATTGTCGTCAAGGTTACCGGTGAGAACATGCGGATACTACACGGTGGGAGGCCCATGCTGAAGGTGCTCGCCACAAGATTTGTGCCCTGCGTCGGGGAACGAGGTGTGGTGCGGCCAGACTACGTCGGACAGCGAGAACCAGTATGGGATGCCAGTGCAGTATGTATCGCGTATACGACGTGATGGAACGGCGGCGAGTATCGACTCGGCGCGACGCAGGTGCTTGAGGGTCGGGGCGCAGACCGGAGAGCTCGGGAGGAAAACTCTAAGGTAAGCATTGGCTTTGTCTATCTACTTATACACGTACAGGTACTGATCTGATACGACGGCGTCGGACGGCGCACGTCGCACACGGTAGCCTCGAGGCTACCGTCTAAGGCGGGCGATGTACAGCCGGCGATAAGCGCCGGCGCGAGCATACGACGAGGACCGCATATCGGCCTCGAGTCTAAGGTGAGTTCTGTTAGTACAATTCTATCTACACGGATCTAACATTCCGACACTCCCCCTCAAACCTTCGCCAGTCCCATCGCGGCTGCGAAGTGTTTGCACTTCATCGAAGGCAAGGCCTTCGTAAGGATGTCGGCAGTCATCTCCTCCGTAGGGCAGTAGGATAGCTCGATCTTGCCCTCCGAGATCATGTACCGAATGAAATGGTACCGTATGTCAATGTGCTTCGTTCGCGCATGAAAGCGTCGTCCTTCGCGAGTGCGATTGCCGACTGGTTGTCAGAAAGGAGAGGGATAGGTCGCTCGGGTCCACCAAAGAGTTCATGCATGAAGGAGCGAAGCCAGATGGCTTCCTTGCTCGCGTGCGTGAGCGCGACGTATTCAGCCTCGGTCGTCGAGAGCGTGACAAGCTCCTGGCGTTTCGAGGACCACGAAACCACGCCACCGTTGAGCATAAAGACGTACCCCGAAATTGCATGCCTGCCCTCCGTGCTCCCACCATCTGCATCCGAATAACCCACTACCTCGTCGTCTCCAGTCCCTCCGAGAACCAACCAGAGGTCCTTCGTACCCTTGAGGTACTGGTAAGCCCGTTTGAGAGCATTCCAGTGTGCGAGTCCCGGGTTCTGCAAGTACTGGCAGATTTGCCCGACTGTCGCAGCGAGATCGGGTCGAGTCGCGACGACGAGCCACATAAGCGCACCGGCGGCTTCGCGGTAGGGTTTGTTTCGCATGAGTGCGAAATCTTCGGGAGTGACGGGCGACTGGTCCTTCGACAGGCGTGTGTGTGTGTCCATCGGCTGAGAGAGCGGCTTTGCGTCAGCGAACCCATATCGGTCAAGTATGGACTCGATGTATGCGCGCTGGGATAAGGCGATCGTGCGACGTGCCCAGTCACGCTTGATCTCGATGCCGAGTAGCCAGTGAAGTTCGCCGTTGTCGGTGATGTCGAGTTTCGAGCTGATTTCAGCCTTGAGACGGACCAGATTCGCAAGCAGTGAGCATACAAGTGTCATGTCGTCGACGTGAACGAAGATGATGTCGATGTTGCCGTCTGGATGGCGGCGGACGAAAACGGCGTGATCATGCTCGATGCGGACGAACTTGAAGCCTAAGAGAGTTGCTTTGAGGACTTCATACCAGCGACGACCGGCTTGCTTCAGTCCGTAGATTGGGACACGTGCTCGGATCAGCTGGCCAGGCTTCAGGCCATCGAGCTTGATGAAGGGCGGTGGACGGAGGTAGATGCGCTCATCGTCATTGAGCTTGCCATAGAGGTATGCACTCTTGACGTCGATCTGGTGGGTGTGCCAACCCTTGCGAGCAGCCATGGTGAGGATAGCGCGGACAGAGGTCAGCTTACAGACAGCTGCGAAGGTCTCGTCGGAGTAATAGTCGATGCCGTCGACCTGGGTGTAACCCTGAGCCACGAGACGAGCACGGTAGGAGTTGATGCGATTCTGCGCGTCTCGCTTCGTGCGGTAGACCCACTTCGTGCCGACTTCATTGATATCTGTCATGTCGTCTGGCGGATCCTCAAAGACCCAGCTGTTGCGAGAGATGAGTCGACGAATCTCGTCGTACATGGCCTCGAGCCACTTCGGCCAATCAGGCCGGCGTCTCGCTTCAGCGACAGTGCGCGGATCGAATCCGAGAGCTTCAGACGTAGCAGCCTCGACGAAGTATGCGATGAACTCCTCAGAAGGGAAACTTCCAGGTTCAGGAAAGGGTGGTGCATCAGCGACAGAGCTTACAGCTCGTCCTTCTAAGATGTCGCGAGCCTTCGCACTCGGTGTGCGCTTGCGCTTTCCAGTGACAATGTCGGGATGAACTGGCTCGTAGATTTCGCCAGGCTCAAGAGAAGGTTCTGGCTCGAAGATGTCTGTGTCGTGCTCAGGACTCGGAGAAGGGTCCCGGTGAGCACGCTTCGCAGGAGGCTCTGCCGCGTCGTCATCATTGATAGGTCCAATATCAACATCCAGCTCCCCCTCGACGCGCGGAGACTCTGAGCTGAAAACAACATCGCGCTCGACACTGATCTTGCGCTCCTCAGGCCAATAGACACGGTGACCGTTGGACGTGGGATCGAGCCCGAGCCAACGAGCAGGTTGACCGCGTGCGTCGAGCTTCGAGGGTGCATCAACACGGACATAGACGATGCAACCCCATGGGTGCATGTTGGAGACGTCAGGTGGATGCCCGTAACGAACTTCATAAGGCGACTTTCCACTGAGAGCACGCCGAGGCGTCCGGTTGTAGACATAGGTGCAGTATCGTAAGGCTTCACCCCAGAGCCATTTCGGCAGGCCTGACGAGATGAGACAGGCTCGTATGCCATTCAGGATAGTCCCATGAACGCGCTCGGCAACACCATTGTGCTGTGGTGTGTCATGGACAGTGAGCTTCCGCATTGTGCCATTTCGCTCGAGGTAGACAGAGAAGTCGTTGGATAAGAATTCGCCACCGCGGTCGGATTGGGCGACCTTTCGGGAGTAGCCGAGCTGAGTGGTGAGGCGAGAGTCGTAGGCAACATACTTCGCAAAAGCTTCACTCTTCATACGCAGCAAGGGTGTGTCTAGCCAGCGGCCATGGTCATCAACGAGGGTGAGGAAATAGCGACAGCGGTCAATCGTCATGACGGACGCAGGCCCCCAAGTGTCCATATGGACATGGTCGCCGAAACGTTCAGCTCGCGGCGACTCGCGCAAAGGCGCAATCACAGCACGACGAGCCTTCGCTTGCAGGCAAGTCGGGCACTCGGGCTTGTTATAGTCCGTGACGACAATCCCATTGATACGACCCGACTTCGCCATCTGCTCAAGATATCCGTAATTTACGTGGGCCAGCGACTGGTGAAGATCGGCAAGGGACATGCGTCGAAGCGGGGTGGAGGCAGCGTTGGCGTCGGCGGGTGGGGGGTGATAAACACGGTAGAGGTTGTTCTCGCGGGGGATGACACCGATGATATCGTAGTTCTTATTGCATATGGTGAGTTCGCCCTTTTCGCCTGACCAATAGTAACCTTCGCTGTCGAGACAGCCCAGCGAGATCAAGGTCGCATGCATCCCAGGAGCATACAAGACGTTTCGCAGCTTCATATGCACAGCGCGAGTGAGACTCTCGTCCTCCGTGTACTTCCAGGTCTGGCGAATCAGCATGTTGCCTTCGCCTGTCGCATGGAAGACTTGCGAGTTCGCAGCACGGATAGGGTGCGGGGTGATGGAGCGGAAGTTGACAAGGCGGTCTCGGTGTGGGGTCATATGGCGAGAGGCTCCAGAGTCGTAGATGTCAACGCGGAGACCCGAGTCAACAGCACCCGAGTCGTCAGCAGCAGCAGCGACGGCAGGAATGGGCGAGAAAGCAGAAAGCTCGCACTGCTCCGCCAATTCGGAACAGTCTATCTCGACTCGCTCAAACGCGCCAGGGGCAACCTCATCCGAGATCGCGCTCCACACCTCCTCGATGAAGGCGGACTGAGCCTCCGAGGCCATTGCAACATTCGGCGTAGCAGCCTTGTCGGCCGAGGACCCAGAAGCCTGCGCTGTCGACGCGCTCTCCTTTGGCTTCGCAGGTCGACGCTGGCTCGACGCGCTCGGACAGACATTCGCGCGGTGGCCCTTGCCTCCGCACTTGAAGCACGTCACGTCCTTGTCCGAGGACGCTGGCGACGTATCCTGCGACTTCCCGGAGGCTCCCCCACGCCCACGTCCTCGACCACGACCTCCGGATCTACCACGTCCGGATCCGCGGTTCCCTCCACTACGGCTCGTTGACGCAGTCATCGCGGTCTCGGATCGCTCGCCAGCCTTCGGCTTTTGAAGGTTGCGGGTATCCGCCTCGGAGCGTAACGCGGCAATGATCTCGCTCGCAGTCACGACGCGCGGGGTCTGGCCAGTGGAGAGGGTCGAGTTGAAAAGGGTCACAGCTGTGTTGAGCGCAGTGACGATGTGAGAAAAGGAACGGGGAATGGAGGTGGTAATGGCATTGATGTACGTCTTCTCCTCAATTGTCGTGCCCATCTCGCCGAGCTCCTTCCGAAGCTGAGCGAGCTTGTCTAGGTGCTGCCGGACCTTTCGCTCGTCCGTGCACTTCAACGAGAAAAGACGCGCCTCGGTCCAGGCCTCGTGGGCAGCAGTGTACTGCCCAAACTCCTTGTCGAGGTCGGTGAGTATCGAAGCGACAGTGGTGTTGTCGTCGTATTTGACGAAGATCGCGTCCGGTAGCTTCTGCGTAATCGCGTTGCGCATCTGCGCGTGAAGCTTCGCGCTGTCGTCATCAGGCGCCGTGGTCAAGAGGTCGTCGCCATCGCAAGCACTCGCAGCAACACGTACACGCCGAATCCACAGGCGGTAGTTCTGTCCGTCAGCAGCAAGCTTCGGGACCTCCGAGAACTCTTTCGCAACGGTCGTAGACATCGCGCGACGCTGGACTCGGATGGATGGTGGGGGGCTGGGTGGTGGCGAGGGCGAAGCCGAGGGTTCGGAAGGTTGAGGTTGGACAGGGGCAGGGGATGGCTCGCGGATAGAGGATGGAGAGCTCGGAGACGAACCAGAGGTGAGTTCTTCGTCCGAGTCGTCGTCGTCTGGGAAGGGTAGATCGCGGCGATCGTACGGAGGGAGGTCGTCGAGCTCGGAAACGGTGTGTCCGGTTTGCTGAAGGTAGGCGCGAGTGGCTCGACGAACGGTGGTGACTAATGGAACGGTCTGCGGGTAGGCGAGGAACTTTGCTGGCATACAGGGGTCCGAAAATGGGACAAAAAGCGCACGAAGATAGACCCTAAGCTCGAAGAGCGGGGCTCATAACCTATCGCGTATACGACGTGATGGAACGGCGGCGAGTATCGACTCGGCGCGACGCAGGTGCTTGAGGGTCGGGGCGCAGACCGGAGAGCTCGGGAGGAAAACTCTAAGGTAAGCATTGGCTTTGTCTATCTACTTATACACGTACAGGTACTGATCTGATACGACGGCGTCGGACGGCGCACGTCGCACACGGTAGCCTCGAGGCTACCGTCTAAGGCGGGCGATGTACAGCCGGCGATAAGCGCCGGCGCGAGCATATGACGAGGACCGCATATCGGCCTCGAGTCTAAGG